ACACTTCTTACAACATTTATACTGTAGTGCAGAGAACCGAAACGACTGGCATGATTCATAAATTCTAACTACTCATCAGACGGAAGGCTTACTGAAAGGCGGATAACTCACAGAATCCTGTCTAAATATTTCTTCTGTGTGTGTTTACCTGATTCAGTTGTAGACAGCCAAGTGTATTGCATTCAAATCTGCGGACATGTGAAGTAGGATTTGTGCGTGTCTGCCTGTTTCGATGATTCATCGATTGGAAAGTCACCTAGAGACATTCTGCCACCTGTAGGCTGATGACCGTTTGTCACGAGGAATTAGAAATGAAGAGTTCTTCGAAGAGAATTGAAGACAATTTTCACCTCAGTTTGATCTTTCCAATGTGGTTGAGTACTCTGAGACGGTCGATTCAGGTAACGATCTCCCTACTGAAATGATGGCGTTGAATTCACTTGACCAGCTTTGTAAAAATATGAAAGCCGACTCCAAGTGAATGGGAGTAATCGGAATATCTGATGAGTGGACAACTTATAGTTTCTGTTGATTGGCGTTCAGTGTTATCTCTGTGGGTGATGAAATGAATGCCTAACGTGAATATGGAGGATTCGTGGAGTGTGACTAGTGGTAGTGCTTCATTGTGGATAATTCCTTAGACTTGAATTTGACTGAATTCTTACTTGGAAGATTTTGTTATTTTGTTTTCATTCATCCACGTTCATTTCGTATTCGTTATTTGTTACTGCCTAATTTGATATCGAACTTAACTACTTGTCACTGGTGAGTAGTATGAGTATGTATTTCACTTTGTCGGTATTCCGTAAGCGTAATGACTGTTTACTGTCAGGTGTCATCCAGTTGGATGAATAATGATTCTCTTAGATTAGCTTCTTACTGTTAAGCGGCATCTGCTGTACATCTTTCATTTATACTCCTCTCCCACTCGAATGGTGTAATATTTCTATGCTAATCACTCCGAGTAAAGATCCCATTTGACACAGCGGGTTTTGTATTCACTTTACCAGCTTTCTTAATACAAATCCGTCTGCCAGCAAATGTCTGATAAGTGGACAACTCGACACAGCTGCATCTTTATTTCTTTCTTGTACACATATGGACGATTCGTTCAAACTCATTCAGCATAGTCTTACGGTAAAACAATCAATATGTTCCTTTCCAATTAGGTACGCTTCACAGGTCTATGCACTGATATCTTTGTATACATAAATATTTATACATATAAAAGTTTTCAATATATAAATGTACATGTGAATCACCAAAAGCTTTAATTAGTCGTCGTAAGCCACAGATTGTTAGCCAACAAAATATCTAGTCTTTGAGAGAGGTATGAAAACAATCACTGAATTCAAATTCAGTTAATTTGATTGACTTTCATACGACTATCACGTGGTTTATGTGCGTGAGACAAGAATTCTTAATTCGAAATGTCAAGATGAACACTGTGAAATTTGTGGAAATACTGTCTCAGACAAGACAGAAGAAGCGAACACCTCAATCAGATTTCCCGCTCAGTCGGTCCAGTTGTCTGAATGTAGGAACAAACATTCAAGTTCAGTTTGAAAACGATTCACGCACAGACTGAAACTTTCATGCCTTCATCGAATGAAGAGTTTGACAGACTCAAGTCAAATTTATTCCAATGCTGTGACAGGCACATGAATATTAGATTCATCGAAAATATCACTTTAACTAGAAGACACTAAAAGGTTTCAAAGAATCTTAAATCGAATGACAATTTAGTGGCTTGCACAGCTGGTAATGGCACAGTAGTCATTGTCAGGGATGAGTCCTATTGTTTAACCGAAATGATGACTTTACTAAAGTGATGGTCCTAAATTTCAGAAATTGTCAACTAACAGAGGTCTAGCAGATAACACTGAAATCCAGTCAAGAGAATCGTTGAGAAGGTGAAACGACAAGACTGAATTTCACCAGTTTAATATGAAACACTAAAATCTGTCGGTACGGTGACACCGAGGTCACATGGCGTGCCTAAGATCCATACGCATAGCTTCTCCCTTACTTCGGTTATCTGTGTTCCTAGGTATCCAAACGAATCCACCACGAAATATATCTGGTATGACTTTTACAGCAGCACACAGGAGACTCTTGAAACAGCATGAAAGATATTTTATAGTTTCTGGAAGCAATCAGACAACTATGTATGAAGGACAAATGCGTGATACGCCTGAATGTGCCCCCTGAATTCACCAATATATCTATGTTGGCAATAGTGGATTACACACGTATTAAAGGATAGTGAAAGAGAGACGCAGCATCACTTCTTGACAAACGAAATCACATCAGTTCCCTCTCGTTTCGTGCTAGAGTAATCTGTACAACCAACACTCTGGACGAGGAAATGAGGAAAAAGTGAAAAGTCAGTGTGTGAGAACGGAGAATAAGAAAATTTATATTAAAGTCTCCATGATGATAAAAGCTAGAGAGAAATGCCTGCAGACTGTTCTGAAGAAACTTACATGTTCGTGAGTTTTTCGTTGAAAGCTGATGCAACCACTGAATTGCTGGCATCGAAACTCAGGAAGACAATAACTAATACATTCTTCGTCGTATAATTCCAATGCAGGTGAAGGATAATCTATCGAATCTGGCCACTTCAATTTGCATTTATAATGTTAACTGCCTCTGTTGTAACAGTAACATAGACAGAGGGACTCAGGAAGTCCACTATCGCCTTATTCACCACTGTCCAAAGTGGTTTTGGAGAGGAAACGTGAAATGGAAAGTGAGTGGCAATCGATAGGCATAGGGGGTGGAGAGACGTAAAAGAGATCAAAGAATGCAGGCAGACTCTCAGTCAGGTAGAAGTGATGCTAGAGAATAGAATTCGGTATAGATGTGCTACTGAAGACCTATATTCCACTCAAAATCGATGAAACGAATAAAAATAATGCTAACTACAATAATAATAATAATGAATATATACTGACATGAGAATATGTATACGATCAGCCAGAAAGTAGATATCTGAACAGTTACACTACACATCAGTGATGCACATGACAGCTTAGTAGTTCCTCGGACAAGGTTAATCCATATGTGATCCTTTTCTCAACGTTGTGTCTAGCATACTGGTTATGTCTCCTCTTCCTTGAGCAGCACTGACATGAAATCTGTATGGACTGTGGAATGTCCGTCGGGCAAAGTTCATGCTGCTTTGTGTATAGCCTTTTGTTTCTACGAACTGCCTCCGATCATCAAATCGTTACAAGAGCAGAAGTCTGAGAATAACTCTCCGTTCTCATTCATTTACCCGAGCGAGAGCCTCTAGATCCATGATCAGTTCTCTTCCTATATATTCTGCTCTCAATTTGGCCTGCATTCATATCGCCTTTGGGGATTTGCTTTCACCGTTTGAGATTTTGCCCATTACTGTTTGCAATTGTCTGTAAAAATCTTCCTTCCCCCTTACTTGTAGCACTGTGCGTACCATTGTATAATTGTGATCTTCCTTTCTCGCTATTCAGTTGGATGTTGCTGTCAGGATCCTGGATGAGGAAATTGGTTCCCACTGCATTAGGGCTTTGGCTACCACTGGTGATATCATGATAACCACTCACTACTGCCTCAGTGTGTTCAATTTCCAATGAAACTGTTTCGTTCTTTGTTATTACTCTTTCTTTGTCTCACACCTCTGCTTACTGTCTCTATTATGCTTTTCTTGTACTTTCTTCTCTTGCTTTGTGTGCTACATGGAGTGTGGCGACTTGAACTGCCGCACATATGTGCAAAGTTCTATGTCGAAAACAACAGACAGACAGACAGACAGACAGACATTGTGTTCATGGCTGTCGTCTGTTTGACCGGAGTAGATTATTGACTCTCCCGTTGACAGTGTTGTCAATCCACATCCATTCCATCTGCTTCAATTATACCCAGTACTTCTACAACATATCTCCACATCTCTTTGGCTACCAGTCTCGTACATTGTATGGACACTCCATATGCACATTATTACTCATGCTTTCATCAAGAGAAGACATATCGACTGGCTTATTGGCTTCCTGAAAGCTGATTTCACCAGTCAGCTGTGTCACTTCGTCTGTCCGATTCAAGATATTGATTTGAAGCTTTTGTGATTTTAATATATTTTACTGTATTCACAAAAAATTCCTTTCATCTCATTCTTCATCTCTCAGTGTCTGAACGTAACCCACTGCTTCTTTCTCAGTTGGCTGTATTGACTTGAAAACCAACTCACAGATTCTCTCTCTCTAATAACAAACACAAACACACAAGTGTGTAAACTACTAGTACATTCTACTTAGTATCTGTTTGTCAACTTTAGCGGGTGCAAGTAAGAAGTAAATACGGCTGCATTCCATTGGATAAATCAATAATTTACTCACTGCTCATAAAAACTTGATTTGAGTTCAAGGACACCGATGGCGAGACTTTTACTAATTCTCACTTATAAACACATAAGTATATTAATGTGAATAAAAACTGAAGAAAGAAGATTGTGACTGAATCTAGACTGGTGCTAACAGCGGAGATATTGAGTGAACTATTCATCAGATAGCCACATTTTCAATTCTCTCTCTCTCTCATATCGAACTCATCACAATCAGAGACTTCGTCGGTGTTAATCAGGCTAAAATGAAGATTCCAGCTTATCTGTGTATCAAATTTTATTCCAGAACGCGCAGAACTCTGTCAACTTTACTACTAATACTTCTGCTGATATTTATGCTTTCCTCTTACTATCTTCGCTTCCAAACACCGAACTACAAATATACACAGCCTGTTAATGTGAAAACGTCTCTAGCATGCACAAATGACAGTTTCGCTGAAATCGTGAGATCAGAAAAGTCGTGGATGTCTTTTGTGGATTCGTTGAATATTGAGAAGGTCAACTACCACACCTTGTCGAAGGGATTTAAACCGTCTGTTGGAATGTTCCCCTTCTCATTGATCTCCATACCACTCATTCATACACATGTGGACTTGATTGATTTTCGAATTCATTTCAGTGTCGTGAAATCAGGCATGAAAGTGGAGTTGGAGGATTAAATCTGCTGTATAAACAGACGAATGATGAAGTGGCTGTAGGCGAAGTCAGCAGTCCTACAGCTTCCAGACATTATCCAATACATTTCAATATGACGAAATATGTGGATGAAATTTCAGCTGGTCTTCCTGAGGATGAGGTATGTCACACGAACAGATTGCTTTCTTGTAGGCCTGACTAGGTTGCGTGTCACACAACACACATATACAACTTTCACCATGCTAATCCACAGTTGACTAAGATGATGAATGAAGAGGTAGTCCATGCCCAGTTCTCCGTATCTGCACACTCCGTAAACTTTCTTCCAGAGATCTGTAGTGGATTTGTCGACTTCTTAAATTTGACTAATTATTATTAAGTGTAGCCATCTAATTCCCTATTCATTGATTGTGATACTGACGGTCGTCTTCTGATACTGGTGGTTTGTCACTGTCAAACTCAGAAATCAGTGTTGATATTCGACTGTTTTCACAACTGAACTAGTGTCATCAGGTTGTTATTAAGGTCAACGGGACGATTAAATAGAAATTGCTGATGTTTCGTGTAAAATGTGACGTGAGATGATTAGGTCAATTCATGATGAGACTCTATGAATAAATTTCGAAGTGAAATTGTGAACACATTTTGTGTGTGATCACAACACACTAAGCTTGATAATTTACAATGAGACTGGGTGAAGCCAGGAAATATCAGTCATTCACAAGTGCACCAATCGGTGATGAACAATGAATGTTCATGCAACAGCAGATGCCCCTGAGTTCCAGTCATTTCGATGTAACTTGCCCATCTCACTTATAATGTTATTCTTATCTTTATGCATATTCTTTCTGGCAAGCCATCATGAAAATGAATACTCTCTCTCGAATTTCATGAAAGTCTGACAAAAGTGATAGGATCACGAATGAAGTATCTCCTAGTGACTGACTATTTGCTGATTAGTGTAGGTGTGATGAATGAGTGGTCAGTGATATGATTTGAGCCACATGCTTAGAGATTCGCCGCACAATCTGAATTACGAGGCGAAGCAGTCGATGCGTTCATCATTCCATTGAAAGCACCAAGAATACTGATAGGTAGTCATGAGAATATCTGACGCTTGACTCTCCATTTTTCGTCACACTTGCCGACCAACTCATCTTCGCTTGCCAGTCAACAGGGCAGGTCAGTGTTGTTCATTGATGTTTAGTAATCTTCCAACTTCATCTTCAGATCATATTCACACGCACACACGCACACACACACACACAAATTTTCATCCCACATTCAATGATCACCCATTACATCAATAGCAGTCTCATCATCGATGCATCTTCCAAGTAGTCACGCCATCAATTCATTCATCCACAATCTTCGTAACCTGCATCATTCAGATATATTTGACAGCCATTCCACTCACAAATTGTTCTTTCAATGTCTGCCATTTCAGATACCGGTAAACAACGATGCTCTTCTGGCAGTGCAATTACCCGACAACACCTGTAATCCCTCACACAGTAGAGAAACATTTGACTTGGTTGTCCTCGTCAAGTCATGCGTGTACTGCACTGAACAACGAACATATGCTCGTAAAACCTATATGAAATCTGATCACTGGAATAATTTCAGAGTGAAATTTGTCTTCGTTGTTGGACTTCCAACACCCACACCAACAAATATTCACTACTTCAATGGAGTGACTGTTGTGTTGAATGGGAGGTCTGAACGGCTATCTAAGAGCCTACAGTCATCTGGTTGGTCTGCATTGAGGGAGTTGAAGAAGGAGAGTGATTCTCATGGAGATGTGTTGATTGGTGGATTCTACGACAACTACTTCAACTTAACCAAGAAGATGATGTTGACATTTCGTTGGGCGTCGACGACGTTTCACAAGCGAACACCCTTGTTTCTGTTTCTTGACGATGACTATGTACTTCATCCAGAGAACACAATCAAACTGGTGAGATCGCTGAATAGATCTGAGGTGAAGTGGTTTGCTGGTGGTCAGGTCCATCCGACGTCTGTGGTCGTACGTCCAGCTGGTGGAGTCTCCAATTCTCGTTGGAGTATTTCACGTGATGAATATCCATGGGATTACTTCCCTCCATATTTCTTTGGTGTGTGTTACATATTGGGAGCAGAATTGGTGGAGCATGCGTCTATTGTAATGTCATTCACACAGGATCTTCGAATGGATGATGCGTATCTGGGCATAGTTCTGGCGAGATTGAACAAAAGTCTTACGAATCTGAAGCAATTCAGTGTGTCCACTCGTAATGTTGACCACATGTCTAGTCTGGTTAACATCGAACGATCAATGGCCAATCGCCTATTTACGTCTGACTGACAACTCTGTAACAACTGATTCATCCGGACTTACTACGGTATGTAAAGTGAGTTGTCCTTTGTGTGTACTAAATGTTCATATTATCATTGTTATCACTCACAAGAAGGTAAATATATCTTTGCTAGCGTTTCCGCTTACTTATTTCTATTCCTATTGGCATGTATTGTGCAAAAGCTGAGCACATTTCTATTTGTTTGCTCAGGTCTTGAGGCTTTTCAAATAATCCTCCTCTTTTTGTTTCACTTCTTCTTCCGTTAATCGAAACATCTTAATAATGTGGAATGCTGTGTAGGGAAGACTGGTGTGGCTACTCAGAAGCAAGTCACTCACACAGGTTTTCATATCACACTACGAAATATATCATTCATGTAGCACAGTGTGACTTCTACTTTCTCAGTCCCTCTCATATCTCCTTCTCTCCTTACAAGAATATCTGCAAATATGTGACAGACAGCTGTCTTCTCCAGCAGATTCTAAACATATATTTGGCCGATGTTGATAGATTCCGGAGGCGGACTGTGTAAGTGACATATCAATTGAAAACAAAGCGTCAGTTTGTCCACATCATCTACAGTCTTCTCACATGGAAGATAACGCTTCCAGTCAAACGTATTTCGAGAAATCACTGGACCCCTCACTATACACCACACACACACACACAATGCTGCATATCATCCATGCGGAAATGATCTGATGAAATGCTTCCACAAACAACTGAAAAGCTCACTGATGATGAAACTTGAGAAATATAAGCAAACTTACCAAATTCCTCTAAGACTGCTTGGTTTCTGATCAGCCTTATAAGTGCATTCGAGTGTTAATTGTACTAAACTAAACTTGCCTGTTTAATTCGTGTCCAAATTGTGTTTCAACAGGTTTGAGTATATCAGAGTGATGTCACTCAGTATATTCACCTGTATCACCTAACCTCTCTTGTTGTTTAGCAAGCACTTACACAATTCGAATAGGTGGAAAGCTGAAACGATTTCAACCACCTTGTGAAGGATATCTCCGCTATACAGTTACTCATATTAATTTCCCACAGCATATGCAGATGTAAATAAAAGAATTAAATTCCTTAGCTATTATCAAATCAATATACACTGACTGTGAATAGGACGCTATATTACCACTGATGCAGACAGATACAACTCTGCACAATGTAAATCCACTCATCCATTTATGCATTTATTCTAAGTTTCAGTAATCATATTAGACAGCAGAATTTCGTCGTCGTGGTACTGATGAGATTCATCTGTACAATGTGAAGAGGCATTCATCGGAACACGAAAATATCAAATATCGGAGAGATAGATTTGAAGTCAAGGTGGGTGATTAGTTCAGAGTTGTGGCAAAATATATGCGATAAACGAAAAGAACAGAAGGGAACACAACACGAAGTGCAGAATTAGCAAGCACAACACCACGCGAGATGTGTGCAAATGACGACTTTCAGATGAGGTGAACATAATTTTGCTGAACAGACATAGCAAGTTCCAAAATGAACATCCCCACCAAATGTATTATAGTCCACCATACATGAATCAGGAAATATTAGTATTCTATTCATTCCACTGACTAAACTGTCTACACGCTGGATTTCACCAAAGGATTTCTTACTCTTCACGGATGATATCTTCCCCCACTTACACACATACATATGTGAGTGGAATAAATGTCTCCTCATCCCACATAGGTGAATGTCATTTTCTCTTTTCCGCTGTAAAGAGAATGAAGCATGCGTGTACTGACTCAACTGCTACTAATCACATTATTGATTGAATCTTTGTACTTATTACTATTGTCACTATTTCATTATCATTATTACTTGTTTTTCCCTCACGTTCCCAGTGGAACATAGGGCTTCAAGCTAGTGGCTTGAAGTTTCTGTAGTAGTGTTTAGTTTAACAGAATGGGGTTGCCAGCCTCATGCCCAGCCTTCCCTATTTACCAGTTTGACCACTGTGCCACCGACGCATCATTATTACTACCATTACCATTATTATTACTAATATTATCGTCACTACCAGTAATTGTATTCATTCTCTACTCTTCTGCATAACCCAGTAGACACTGACATTGTAAACAACTTGTCTTCTTCATAGTTATTTCAGTAATATAAGTTAACCGTATTATTTATTCTATTTCAAGAGAGGAAAGCTCTCATCACATCAAGAATACTTACTACTGACTTTGTATTGTTATTATTCTTTTGTTTATAGTACATATCAGTAGGCTATGAGTAGAATGTTAATTATGCAGTATTTTCTAATCACTCATTTGTCTGTCGTGATCAGTCTTGTATTGTTTGCATGAACTGGTGCATTGAATTTTGGTGTATTCATATGATGAACTGCCTGTACACTATGAGTTAGTTTCAGTGTGTCATAGTATCTCAGGCTGTTTAGGGACAAGGCGATGTTGAGATGTGATCTCCGAAGACAAGGTCTGTCGATTGTTGACCTTCAAGAAGCTATCAGATAAGAGGATGCCTATGAGAGTTGCCTTCGAATCGAATCATGCCTACATTTTTCACTTGGAGGAGGCAGACGCAGTACTGCAGTTGTTTTCTGCGTACGTTTTTTGTTAATCGACACTGTCAGGTTTGGGTTATGGCATTGTACTTCGGGGTTTAGTGTGTACCATTAAAGTTAGGACTACAGTTAGAATGTGGAATAGACTGAACAACAGTATCCGGAAGATGAATGGATCTCAACTCAAACACAGAAAGTACGTATGGTGATATCGTGATTGCGGTGGGTTTTAGTGCATATATCAACACTGATGCGACTTCTTTATATCTGAACTCTGATATATTTTACTGCGGTTTTGTCTTTGATAGCTTCACTTTGCCAGCCTGTGATTTGGTTAGTATGAGAAATCAAATATGTATGTATCCACGAAAAATTATGTGGCATGTCCCCTTGTTTATCAGGTGGCTCCATCTGCTTCAACTTGTGATTCCATCCGCCATCCGTTTCATTGGAATCGCTATTATTTAGCTTCGTTATATCCAGGTGGCTGTATTCAACATGGTTTTGAAATTTTTTCAGGTTTTTGTGCTCACTTCTCTGAAAGTGTTCCTTCAATATTATTTTTAAGCACCAATGTAGTGCTTGTATAACAAGATGCTTGAATACGTGTCACATCCAATAACTGTCCACCGTTCATTTCCACGACTGGCATTTAAATAGTCTCTTTACAAACTGGTAGTGCCCTCCACCAGACCGTAAGCTTTCTGGTCAGCTGACATCAATCACCTGTGTCTAGTGTGTAGACCTTAAGACGTTATGAGTATTTGTGCCACAGCCGCTGCACATATCTATGCGCTTAGTGTCAATTCAGATCCACCTCGTTTGTCGTCGTTAATTCCTTCTCGTCAATCCTCCGATTTTCAATATGTAGCAAAGGCATCGGTTGTTAAATGTCTGTGGCTCATTAGAAATGAATTTCATGACACTGTTACCAAATCTTTGGACTCTACAGAAGCATTCTGTGAAAAGACATTAGTTTTGACGTGAATTTGTTGTAGGGATTTGAGGTGTTCTTCATGTTTGTTATCAGTTAGAGCACCATTGGAAACTAGGGAGGAGTATTGGTGAACACCACGTATTGAAACACTTCCGAGTGACTGACACTCTAACGCTCGTGTATTCATACATATAACATGTTTTCAACTAATTTCTTGTGTTTTCTTAATACAGAACCTGCGTATTATCGTGTTAAGCATCACCAATTTTCAATGCCAGTAATATCTTTCCGTCGAATGAAAAACACTTCAAGAACTACAGTTTTAGCAGAATAATATGGTACCATCATTTATTTCGTTGGCTTCTCATCAGCTACTGCTTACAGCCTAAATAAATTATGAGGTTTAAGTACAGACATGTTTTAACATACTTGCAAATTTTACATGTTGTCAGTTGACAGAAAATTCCACAATTAGTAAACAGTGCTCAGAAGATTGCGCTTATATAGTTTTCACACAGGCAGTTCAAGTTTAAACAAAATAAACGTATGCAGGAAATGGTAAAGGAGTTATGTAATAAAGATGAGATGTGCGTTAGATTTTCTGAAGACGTACCAAAAAGCTTACGTCTAAAGGGAACAAATGCTTTAAACAGTGCCATCGCTAGGCATCTCCTCGACACGGGTTATGAGGTGGACGTCAAAAAGTCGTTCAAAATTATCAATAGGCAAAAGAGCTCAATTCTCCTTAAGTTTGCTGAAGCGATTTCTATCAAACGCTTGAAACCAGACCTATGTGTTCAGAAAAAAGCAGTTATTAGTCTTTCCAAGCCACGGTAACTGGATTCCTTTTCTTCTCTCATCTGATTACGTAATCTTTGTCTTTAACCTCACCCTCACTTTTATAATCTGTAATTTTACTTGTCTCTTGAGCTCAACTCAGTACACTGTTACCTAACTTACTAGTCACTATGCATCTAACCCACATCTCTTCTTTATTATGTAACTCCTTTACCATTTTCTGCATACGTTTATTTTGTTTTAACTTGAACTGCCTGTGTGAAAACTATATAAGCGCAATCTTCTGAGCACTGTTTACTAATTGTGGAATTTTCTGTCAACTGACAACATGTAAAATTTGCAAGTATGTTAAAACATGTCTGTACTTAAACCTCACAATTTATTTAGGCTGTAAGCAGTAGCTGATGAGAAGCCAACGAAATAAATGATGGTACCATATTATTCTGCTAAAACTGTAGTTCTTGCTTTGTTCAAATTCATTAAGGGGAATAAATGTATGAAAAACACTGCATTTTCACTACTGCACTACTGTGATAACTTATTTTCATTTTTTGTTTCTTATTCACAGTATTTACTGTGTGCATTGTCTATGTGTTGTGTAATACTATAATGCACCACCGACTGTAGTTTCTAGCATTCAATCGAATCGAAGTAGCTTTCATGGAGACTGAACACTGGCGTTGTTGTTGTTGTTGTGAATTTGATAGGGATTGAAATGTGTTTTGTTCAGT